GGGGCAGCATAGACAGGTCTTTTCTGTGTTAGAGTTTTACTCGCTACAGAGTGTACTTTGAGGGTTTGTGACTGCAGACCGTTTACATGCATAGAAACCTTCATAACACACAAGGGGACGGGTAATAACCGGAAAAGCATGACATGAGACCTTTAAGATATTTTGTGAGTCAGTCTAAAGGTTAAACTGAATGCTTCTTTTATGAGAATAAAGAAATAGAGATATAATACAAAAGAGGTAAAGCAAAATTAGAAAACAAGTTGCTGTTCTGAATTTGTATCCTTATGCACTTTGCACTTGTAAGTCACTTCAGCTAAAGGAATAATATTATTAATGTCAATAATAATAATAATAATAATAATAATAGAGAACCATACAAAAATACCCCATTAAAACAAAGAAGAATAGTCTTTGTAGAAAAATGGTAAATTGATGTTGTATGACTGATACATTTTCATAGTTTTTCATTTGAATTGCCCAAAATATTACAATAAACCTGGAGCAAACCTGAAAGTCTCAATGGTATATCAATACATATTTATCTCAGTCGCTTGTCATATGTGCAATGGATTTTCTTTATTCCAATTATGAAGGAGCAAAAGTTGATATACTGTATGATTTAATTCAAAATATTGGTCACTTGAAGATGCTCTGAATAACAAATATCAAAACCTCTTCGGGGATTGTCAGTAATGCAATAACAGAGCTGACAAATTGAGTTCCTTTTATTGCATGGACCGACAACAGCAGAGGGTGAGCGCGTCCTTGACTCGCAGGAATTACAGGTGTGAACCTACAGCATGCAATACTCAGGAGAGACCCCCGCGGCCCCTTATTAATCTGAAGCTCGTTGGGCTGATGGAAATCCCCCCCCCCATCTCCTTTACCACCTCCTTCTTCTTCTTCTTACATATCTTCACCCACACCATCCACCATCATCATCCTTTTTTTCTACTTCCAGTGATCAACGTAGTGCAAAATCAACAATTAACACACGTAACCCTACATTTGTTTCCTGCAAGAAAGAGAGAAAGACAATAAATAATTAATATAGGACAAAAAGAAAGAAAGAATATAAAATTAAAGAAAGAAAGAGTGACAAAATAAAGAATGAATAAATGAAAGAAAGAAAGAAAGAAGGAACAAAAAGGATCGATTAAAAAGGACAAAAACAAATGAAGAATGAAAGAACAATAGGAAAGAAAGAAAAAGAAGACAAAAAGAAAGAAAGAGAGAAAGGAATTATTATAGAAACACAAATTATTGTGAATATTCCTAAAAGATAATTATGTTACCTATTGCTTTGGCTCAGTTTGGCCAACTTATTAAACACTTTGGTTGGAATAACCAAATGAACTTCAATTTCAATTATATGAAATTAGTTTCAAAATCCTGGCAAGTAACAACGACATATACGTTGTGTCTCACCTTGATGTTTTTGCAGTCTGTGCAGTGTCTGGATCGTTCAGGTTTACAGACGTCTGGCTGACATCTCTATTGGCTGACCTGCAGTCTGGCATTAAACCAACACGGTGAAGATGTGAACACTTCAGTGCCAAATGACTCAGAATTCTTCTTGTTTTCTTGGTCAGGAGTTTGGCTGTTACCTTGAGAAGCACACATTAGAAAGTCACTAGGCAACCTGTGTTTGTTAATCTCATCTATATCAGGATCATCATTATCGTCTATTTGTATTGCTTTGTTAATCAAAGCATATTTTGGTGTTTCTGAATAATACAATTATTTAGGGTTAGAATATTCGACCTGGACAGCCCTATCTAAGATGGTGCTTATTGTTTAAAAAAAGTTTCCTTTATAGAAAATCCATGGAAATGTAGTGTATTGATCAGTTATTTGAAACATTATCTTTTATATGTGTACATGATAAATAGCTTTTACTCATTTCACACTGTTTTATGCTTAGTCGATCTGCTGTGCACTAACAAAAACGTCATTGTAATGAATTGATAAGAAGGGTAGAAAAACTATTTATATTCTTCACACAATTACAGAGTTTATTAACTTAACTTGAAAAACAATGGGAAATTGTTCTGAAATATTAAAGCTTAAAATCTAACTTCAAGGAGTCCATTTGAGATTTGTATTCCAGGTTTTAATTAAAGTGTTTTTGACAAACAATTTTCCATCTTTTATCAAGCCCACCTAATGTGTTTATTTATTAAGAATTACATTCATAGGCATGTAGTGTTGTGAATAATAATCCAATGTTTAATCATTACTGTTACAGCCTCCCTGAGGATGAGTATACGCAGCTTTCTATCAGACTACTTTTATTTCCATCTGTCTCTCAGTGCAACATGGAAGCTTTACTGCTTGTCACTGATGTTTGCTGCTCGTATTTAAACGTGTAAAAACGTTCTCTGAGGTGTTGAACATGTTGTGTTTATGCATATGAAAGTGTACAACATTGCCCCTGTTGCTCCTGCAGTAATAGAGTTTCCATTCATGCTTTCTAAAGAGGCTCAGGAGGCGATACTACACAAACAAATGACAAAGCTCTTACCTCAAGGACTCACCGTTCCACTGCCTACACATTTGAGGACAATAGACCATTCAAGCTTACCACAGTTACTATTTCACAATAATGAAATCCATCAGGGAGCAGAAACCTTGACTGCAGGTTGATGTTCTATGTGTACTACTTCAATTATTTATGTAAATCAGTGAGGAACACTTGTTTTTACTTTGGGTGTGGGTGAAATATGGAAATCAGGTGTTTTTACATTCCAGGTGCACACTGCTTTATCACTGTAATTACTCTTGATATATTTGCAATGCAAGAGGGAGTGGGGAGAAAAGAATAGTGCAATTTAATAAGGATTTTTCAGATATTTGAGTGTTACTTGAAATGAAGTGGTGTTGTAGTGCAATATACCAACTGTATTGTGGTTGGAATGAGTTCTTACTCGTAGAAAAGGCTGAAGCTGGTTTGGCGAATATGGACAGTTTGTGCAAAGTAAAGGAGAAGCGGGATCAAATAAGTCATGTCAATGTAAATGTGCGAAAGAAGAAGAAGAACACTAACACGATCATCGTGAAAAACTAAAACACTAAGAAGAAAAAGGAGGTGAAGAATCAGATCATAAAGGAAAACAATGAGAAGATAAAGATGATTAAAAAGATGAACATGAAGCACGAAAATGAATAACACGAAGAAGCGGAAGAAGAACAACAACAAGAAAAAGAGAAAGAAGAAGACATCTTTTGGAGAAATACATGAGAGAAAAATAGAGAGAGAAAGATCTGAAAGCTTGAATGAAAACGAGTAAGTCAGTTGGACTGAGAGTAAGTCCTCTGAGTATACACTTTATATACATTACATTTCACAAATGGTCTAAATCGTTTTTCTTTATTTTAAAGGGAAAAAACAACTTGCAACATGACATTTTAAATCAAAACCATTCAAACTAAAAAGATAAATCTCATGTTGGAGAACCAAAATAAAATAAGTCTGATACGACCAGTCATATTATTTGTCAAAAATGTGGGACCAAAATTCAGGCAGATCTGCAGTACTTTCATCCAAAGATGCAGACTATATATATATTTATATTGTGTTCTTATTTGTGGTCTTTGTATATTTAAGTGTACCCAAATGCATTGGGAGCAAGATACATTAAGCTGCATCCTTCCTACACCTTTATTAGCGCAGCGTCATAAAGAAATATTTTCCTAAAGTTTCAAAGAAAAATAATATTTAATAGAGTTATCAAGATCATATAAATTGTTTAAGATACATTTTTTCTTTCAGGACATAATCACACATTTGGTCTCATCCTTCAGAATGGCTGTGTTCCAGCTGTAAAGTTGTAAATAATGACAACTGATTTGAAGAAATAATAGTGGTGTCTTGAAAAGGGCTAAACAGGATGTTTCAACTCTTAAACAATATTTTAGCAATATATGTTCACCCATTTACGTATAACTTTAGGCAACTGTATACGCCCTCTTCATAACTGTTTTAAATTGTGTCCCACTTTTAGTCACATAGTGTTCAGGCCGATTGGAGTATTTTGCAATCAAATCATCATTCTTAATTAAGTTGAGATACCCCACTATCTTTCCATGTCCCCATTAGAGACTTCGTAAGTACCCCCTGGAGTACAAGTTTGTGAGGTAACAATTATCTTTACTCAAGAGCCTGTGATAACTTTACATCTCCATAATGTGACCACTCACCCTGTCACAAAGGTCAACATGATTTATAAAACTGGAAACTCAAAACTTTCATAGGAGAACAAATAAGGCCAAATGATGCAATCAGTGTGTAAGATCCACCCACTGCTTTCATTATGATCCAACTGCTGTCACCATTGTGTATTTGACCAACTCAAACCTAGTGTGCACTTTATTCAGTGAACACTGAATGAAGCACACCCTGTTCTACTGGTTTTCAAACCCTTTATAATGTGACTCTCTCATATCTGCTGTCTTTATTAGATCATCAGCTACCAGAGGCTGCACAGTATTTGGTCTGAAATGTACTTTCCAAACGTTTTAACGGCAGTCTATAGGAACTTACATGAGACAAACTACAAGAATAATATATTTAAATGGTTAGAAATAATTAACTTAAATAATTACACAAAGCTTCGTATTTCTTTTTTTCTTTAATTTGTTAAAGGGGCCCTGTTATACTAATGTTCAGGTTCATATTTGTATATTAACATGTTTCCATGCTTAAATATTCAAAAAGCTCTTTATTTATTGTGCTGCAGCATCTCTTTTCACCCTCTGTCTGAAACCAGAGCCCAGTCTGCTCTGATTGGTTAGCTCTTGGTCAACTGCTTTGAAATGTCGCTCCTCTTAGCATTTTACGTACAATGTGTTGGAGCGCTAGCCAATAGAAGTCTTCAATAGTGAACAGCAGGGGGGGGGGGGAGAGTGTGGGAGAGAAACTTTGGGATTTTAGCCTTAACAGACTATTTACATGCACAAAAATCTCTATAACACATTACAGGAAAGGGAAAACCACAAAAAGCATAACAGGGACTCTTTAATTTTTTTTTTCTGAGTTACAGTAGTCTTAATACGGACATTGCATAGATCAACATCAAAATAAGTGAATAGTACCCTTCTCGTTTAGTTATAAGAATAAAGGCCTGTCACTTTAATTTGGTCATCGTGTCTTCAGCTCAGTTGAAGGATTTCATAGCTAAAGTTGAAAAAGTACAAAAGGCACAAGGTAGCTTCTAAAGCGTGACATTCAACAATTTTGTGTTAAAAAAATAATTCCTGTGCTTTAAGCACTTCTGTACCATAGAGAAACATTTGAAAATAATACTGCATACAAGAATAATGACATTGTAATAGTTCACAGAGCAAAGATAAACAGACAGTAACCTAATATCTGTAAGTGCCACGTGTAAAAATGACTCAATTGGAAAAAACTAAACAGACTTAACAGTTCCATTCAACGCCTCTCTTCTAGAAATACTAGCCAATACAGTAACACAGCATGGGAGAGGAAGCAGTGTTTCCTCTGTATTTATTCAGCAGGGGAGTGCCAGCTCAGCAAAAAAACTAAACAAAAAAACAGCAACCCTTAAAGAAAAAATGGAAATTATTTTGTATTCTTAAGCCCAAACGGAGGTAATGATTCACTGTATAAAAAGTATTACATTTTTCTGGAGTCCAAAACAGATTTACTTAAAACAGGGAAAAATGTGGAATCGATTGTAAAAAAAAAGAAGCCCCCCTAGCACCGTGCAGACTCAGTAAGCACGGACCGCTGGCTTTGTGTCCTGGGCCTGGTTGAAGGGGTTGGCCGGGGTGGGGGGCTCTTCCTGTTGGTCAATGGACTGGTAGGCTTCTCTGTCTCGTGATACAGTAATGAAACCTGCAGAGACGAGCCAAAGGTCAATACACTGAACCGCTGACGTGCAAAATGTATTATTCATAGTCATTTCAAAGCACTACTCAAATATGTTGCAATATAGATAGTAATGTTTGCACAAGAAAGGTATTCTAAGAAAGCCTTAACCCAACTTCCTTTTTCTTGATTTCTACAATGATTTCTTTAAAGTAAGGGGCATAAAAAACCTCTGTTGAAATTCCTCCAATTTCATCACTCTTTTTACAGTACTGTCTGATAAATTGCTTGTTCTGTCGGTAATAAAGAGAAATTGACCACAGTAAAACCTTGTGAGCAGAATCCTTTAATCCACTACAAAACCTGTGCATGCAAGTTTCTCTGTGCCTAAAAGACTTAATGTTAACATAAATCATTATGATTGTTTAACGAAAGGCAGTATACTGACATAATCCATCTGAAAAGTCTCCCTATGATACTCCCAAACAAACCAGAATAACAATGTAATAGTTCAAAGGCCCGCTCACTTTAATGTCTGCATGGCCCAGAGTCCTATAACTGGGACTAACACAATGCGGATCAAACAAGCACTTTCCTTGCAGAGGGCATGGATGATTTGCACAAATATAATATGTTAATTGTAATAATTGTGCATAACTGAGGAGGTTTTTTTTTTTTTAAATGCATCATGTTGCTCAAGAAGCCTTTTATAACTCACTCGTATTGTGCATTTTAAACAGGTCACATTCGTTGTCTATAAGTCGACATTTTAATTAGGCCTATTTTAGAATGTGCACCATCATGCGGCTTTGCTTTAAATATATGCCAACAGAATCCACAAACACAAATGAGGCGTCTGGAGAGTGATTTGAATAAAACATGGGCACATTTAAAGAAACATATAAACACATATATACATAGACATGTAAACAAACATACTGTAAACAGGCAGGTATGTGAATGTAATGAGGACTGATGGAATTGACAGATGAATAAATATAAATAATTATGAAAATAAAGATTGACATTAACAAGATAAGTGGGAAAGAAAAAAAATATAACAAGAAATGTAATTTTTTCTGTCCTGCAGCCTGATTTGCAATCTTACTTCCTGTTGGGAAGAGGGTGGAAGAGGATGATTGGAGAAGAGAAAATGGTAAAAAGGAAGAAGCCAGGAATCAATAGCGGCGGCCAATAAATGCACTGTCAGCACTATCCGTAGTGCATCGACTGTCCACAGAGGTCTCAAAGTCTGAGAGGTCAAAGGTCGGCAGTGGAGAAGAGAAGAGACACAAGACACATGGTCAAATAATAACAGGAAAACAAGACAACACAGAACAATTATATGACAAAAAACATGACAGCAAGACATACGGTGAGGTTTGAAATGACGACAAGCAGGGAAACAAATTCTTACACATGAGGATTCACAGGTCAACATTGATAGAATCGACCAATCAAAATAAAAGTAGTAATTGACACATTGGGACCATTATTTCAACAGATGAGCAGGCTTCTCTGTCAAATGTTCTGTCTGAAATGTAGACAAATATTGGCAGCTAATTAACATAACTGAGTTGGTTAAAAAGTCCACAGGGTAGCTAGCTAGCATTAGCATTACAGTACAGATGGTTGAATGAAACATTTATGATTTGTTATTTATTTCCTTCTAACTATAAAAAAAACAAACAGGAATGACAAATGAAACGCTAGCTCGGCTCTGTCCCCAGTGTCCTATGTTTGCTTGAGCAATGGTGCATTGGTATTTCAGGGTAGCCAGCTAGCGTTAGCATTACATCACGGATGATTAACACAAAAAACATTAACCCTCCTGTCGTGTACGGGTCAAATCTGACCGAACAACTATTTTCTTCAATCATAATTATTGCGTTTAACATTTGATTGCCTCAAGGCCTTACATGATGTCCTTCACAGTAGGCATTTGAATATAGAACAATTGCTGATCACCACTTTCATTGAATTTTAGATTAGTCAACTTTGTTCAACCTATGGTGTTCCCGGTCAAAAAATGAACACGACAGGAGGTTTGAAAAATGTTAGTGTGTTATTTATTTCCAACAAGTTAGTTGGAATACTTACTATCAAAACTACAAGTTTTTGTTGCTATTTAAGGGATCTGACAGAATCACAATACCAAAAGATAGCTCAATATCACTCAAGAAGCATGCATACAAATATTAAAGATAAAACTTAGAAATAACACTATTTACAAAATACACATCCAGTAACAGTACAGTTTAGCGATATAGCATCCAGGTGAAAGTATTAAAGGTGGAAGTATAGTATATATTACACAGCTATTTACAGTAAATATATATAATACACATAAGGAGTATTGCACAACAGGAGTGTTAAAGTCTTGTTGTTATATATGTGTGGGGGGTCTACCAGGGACCATAGTGGTTGTAAAGTCTGACCGCTGCAGGAGAGAAGCACCTGCGGTACAAAGCTTTTACTAGAAAATATTAAGAGCTAAGGGCGCTGGGGAACAAAAAGATGACCCCGTAGTGTAAGTACTACAATGTAGATGTGCTAGTCCTGAACTGAGATTTTCTTAACACCACTTGTAACCCCACAAAAAAAATGGTGTTAGCTAATGATAAGCTAACCTATCTTACAGTGAATAATGTTGTATACTGTAGTTACAAGCTAGTTAGCTTGACATGCTAACCTTTACACAGCTTACATTAGAACAGGCACACACAGTTAAAACCATTCCTTATGATAAAAAATGTGTTTAGGTTTGGGAAAGGCAAAAAATACAACTAATACAAATGTTATGCACAGTGCTTCAGCATGAAGAGAAACTCAAAGCCTGACATGCATGACATGCTAATTAGAATCTGAGGAAGTGTTAAGTGAATGCTTCATTTAAAGTTGAACGGTCAGTCTGACAGACTCTATTGTATTGAATTTTTTTAAAACGCCTGTGCAATTTCAACCAGTTTAAGAGGGCCGCCAGTTACCATTCAGAGATCGCTGTAGGCCTGCATCAAACACTCACTCTCATGCACCTGATTGCCCGTTTCCCAGAGTGCTCAGTGCAGCAGGGAACCATCTTAATGTCAGCCATGCAATCAGACAGCAATTAAAACACACATTGTTTGAAACTAACATTAGCTGCACTCATCAGTCACCTCACAGCCAATCACCCTCTAATGCAGTGGTTCCCAACCTGGGGAACAAGCAATACATGATTGTCACTAAAAGCCTTGTCTCTACATTACAATAAAACATACAAAATAATTGATTTATTCATTTGAATAAAAATTCAAGTTAGTAGCTAATAAAGGCATAAAAAGACAGACATTTATAATTCTTTGTTTAATAGAAATGTTTCTTCTGCCCGTAAAGCATCCAAACCAGGCTTTTCTGGATAAGCACCTTTTTAAAACATAGTCATTGTCCATGCCGGTTTCAGTTGGATTATTCGTCACAGTTGCTCCGATCAGATCGGTCTCCTCCATTTTGTAGATTATTTACGACTTTTGAATCCACATAAACACATCGGCAAAATCCGGCTTACTTTGAGCATGTGTTTTAAACAGTTTAATGCCTTTGTGAATTGTTTGGATGCAGGAGAAATGTCCTTACCTTTCCTAGAATGTAATGTAATACATTACTATTTTAGCTAGTGATATGACAGTTTAAAACAAATGAAACCTTGTTTCATTTTGTAATATGTGTTCTTCTCTTCATGAAAGCAAGAAAAGCTCACTAACTCAAAGCTCCTTGTATGAATCCATTCTCAACACTACCATGAAATCATTAACTACAAATGATGAATACTACCACGTGTGGTTAATCCATATAGATGAAGACATGAGTAACATTTCAAGGATTCAAGAGTCACAGCTCAGTGGGATTCCTGATTGGAAAGCTCTCAGCAGAGCGAGTCAAAGTCCCAAAAATCTATGGCCACACGTTGTTAATCACAGAAACACATCTCCTGACTAGTCAATGGAAGAAGTGTACTTATCATTTGTTTGCCTACAAAGAGAGATATATAGTGTACACATAAAGTCAATGGTCAAGAACATTACAAAATCTCTATTCCTGTACACACATGGTACATGTTCCTTTCACATCAATCTTGTGCTATTTTTGGGCGATCATGGCAGATCATAAATTGTACCCTACTGTTGGTCTAATATAATGTTCCTGCATGCAGTATACACCGGTGGCCAGGGTGACACACAAATGTTATAAACAACTCATGGAGCAATGATGTCCTTGCCCGGGACGAACTACATTTAGAGTCTTGTGACTGAAACTAATTAGTTTGACTGTGGGATCATCTGCCACTGGTTTAGCACAATCCCCCTCCAGTGTGCTGCACTCGGCAGGGCTTTCATGACAAACAGCATAAAACAATATAGAGAGGATATCTAAGCGCCTCTGGACACATGCATCACTCAGTACATTTAGCTTTGGTCAGACTCAGGCCTGGGAAACTTGTAAAACCATTATTTCTTCATGATTCTGAAAATATGTTTAAAATATTCCTGGCACCATGAAGCCTCCTTTTGTTATGTGATCAGTTTTGTACTATGTCATCTACTCCTCAAAAGAGAAATAGATAACACTTTGGTTCTTAAATAAACAATATTTTCCAGAGTGTTGCGAGATAGCATCAGTTCTCGCTGTAAAAATCATATTTTTGGAGTGTTTGATGTCTTTATCAGATCTGAAAACCTAACTCTTCTTCATAAGAAGCCTTTTAAGTGGCATTTCAAACCTTTCCCCAATTGTCTGAAAATACCTAATGTAACTATAGTATCTCATCTTGCAGCACTTACCAAAGTTAACGTTGTAATCTCCTCCACGCTCGCGATACATTTGGTAGACGAAGAAGCAGGACGCAGGTTTAAGCAGCAAGCTGAGGATGGCCATTCCTGCGCTGAAGCGAAACACGTTCCTTCCACTCTCTGCAGCGAAATCATTTATCGGGTAAAAGATGCCGAAATGGACGATGTCGGTCACTATCGTCACGAACATCCCAACCAGGAAACTACATGGGGAAACACAAAGAGGAAGACTTCTTAACGGACATGGATGATATGTCAGGCTTTTACTTTTAGTAGTAGTTTCATGCTCTCAAGTGCCAACACATCTTGGTAATTATACCCAAGGCAATTTATTATGCAAGGAAAACTAAGACAGACATTTCTGAAAACCTGCGATAAATTAGATAAAAGACACTGATTTATCTATTGCCTTTATTATCTCGGACAGCCACATCTTTATTATGGGATCACACAAAATTGCTGCTGCTTATTTTTCATAATGGTTCTTTACTTATGTGTCTCTATAGTATTTCGTTTTTTCACTTACGTGTCATTGTCTCTATATTTATTATGTTAGCTTACTCTTTATTGTTTTGCCTAATGCTGTAAATGTCCCCGCTGCAGGACTAATAAAGGCTTTCTGATTCTGAATCTTTAGAAACTTGACAAAGTAGAGGTTAAGCCTGGAGTTATATATCAATTAATAAGCAGTAGGGAGAAAGCCGGACTATCTCTCATCTTTATACTTTAGTTGATATGACTTTGAAACTGCATCTTGATTCACAAAAACTTCTGTGCATTATTTATTTGTTGCCTTTCTTTTCAAACTTTGGCTGGCTCAGCCCAAAAGACTTTCCTCCCTGAAGGACCAGTGGACTTTAAAGTACACAAAGCAAAAGTTTCCCCCTTGGGTTTATCCCAAGGCATGGACACTCAGAATCATTTACAGTCAGAGGTGTCATTGAGCGAGACACCAGACTGAAATTTCTCTCTTTACCCTCCAGCTGTAGAGTATTTGCTTCGGCAGGAACTCTTTCACAGCCATGGAGGTCTGGGGTCACTTTCACAAACGCAAACTTGGACTAAGGCTTAGATTGACCTTATAGTCAGACTTAAAAATTAACGTCTTAATTGATGCATACCACATATGTCATTTTATTGTCTTTCTTAAAGGGGACCTATCATGCAAAATGCACTTTTGTACGTCTTTTATACATGAATATGTGTCCCCGGTGTGTCAGGGAACTCATCAAGTGTCAGAAAACACAACCCTCTCTCTTTTCCTCCATACCCAAATCTCTAAAAACGGGGCTGCAACGGAGCTGATACAGACTGATCCAGATTTGAAATATCTCTGACGTCAGAAACGAGGAGCTCCACCTATATGGGCAACTCTCCACCTATCAGGAGGAAACAGCCACAGCCATTGCCGTTCGAAAGCGCTGGAGACGCTGTAGTACATATGCCAGGCCTGTAGGTGGCGCTGTAGTCTGCCACAAAAGCAGCGAAGAAGACTTCTCAGATTCAGCCCTTGCAAAAACAGGGCTAAAAAATAGCAAATAGAGCGAAATGAGGCATGGCTAAAATGCATGATTTGTTTGGTATTTTGAAAAAAAAACTTTGCAGACATGTTTTATATAGGTATGGCCCTACAATATGTGTTTCAAATATAGCATGATAGGTCCACTTTAACCCATTTACCCAAAGACAGTGGAAAAATGCTAGAATATTTGTTCATAATGGTCTAATCTCTTGAAATCTGGCATTAACATACTTAGTATCGAACAGGAACAGTATCTAACAACTGAAAATGTATTATATAACATGGAAGAAACACCCTTTTATTAATAGCCAAAGTCAGTATTTTGGAAAAAATAGGAAAAACACAAACATTTTGTTTAATGAATCTCTCTATATGAGGTTTGTTTTGCATAAATGTGCCTATATTTGATGTTAAACTTTTTACGAGTTCATGTACATCAAATACTTAATTGTGATCATTATAGTATCTGGATAATTAAGACTAACTTGCCATGAGTTCTGGGTAAATTAAGACATTCTAAAACAATAGAAACATGGCTGACCAAGCTGCACAGAAAACATTTGTCTGCAATAACATTACAAAGACATTTATTTACTAGGAAAATTCTGCAAAGAGCGTAACAACCCAAAAAACGTCCTGTAGCATTAAATCTCAATGCAGTGCAGACCTGTAGCAGAGCTGAGAGGCTGTGATGTGTCAGAGCTCAGTGCGTCGGCTAACCCATCAATCAGACTCAGGATATTTCCTTCAGGCAAACAAAAAGACGGACGATGTATCCTCATTGCTGTGCATTCCCAACAGGTAACTGCACTCTGTGAAAACTCTTTCCCTTCCTATTACTCGCTCCAATACATTGTTAGCAAACCGTTGTATCCATGATTGTACAGCGTAAGGGTAGGGTAGTACACTATCTACTATTTCGGGTTAACATATCGGATTACATTATTTCATTCTATGCTACATTTGCCCCTGCTGACTTTGTTATTGGGATGTTGCTGTGTTTCCAATCCTTAGCATTGAGTTTGGAGAGTGAAGTGTTATCCCACCTTATAGAAATGACAGCAAAAAGAAGGGAAATACCACCTAATAAATTGGCTTTAGACTACAGACCTGCCTGGAACATGTGTGTGAATCGGTGCACCATGAAAGCCACGGTTACTGCTGAACCAAAGGAAGGCTATTTTTCGTCAAAGGGATGCTCACAGATAGTCCTACATTCCACAGACAAATAGGTTAGCACGGATACGCATTGCTGCGCCTATAGTTAGACTCCTGTGCGCCTCACATGATGTTTGCAGGAATCGAGGTGAAGACCCACCATGAGCACGGCATCGATGGAGTCCCTCTGTGCAATGGCCCACACCCCGATAGCAAACACACTGAAGTTCACCCAGGCATAGGAGGTGGGAAGCCACGCCATGCACCCCCTGCAGAAAACACACACATTCTACAGTCACATAATAACAACAAGAATATATTTGTTTAGAGCATTTTTCAAACTTAAACAAACATAGAGTGCTGTCCAGGTTAAACTATTTACAGATTCAAATGTAAAAGAAAACAAAAAATCAAGAAGAAAAAATTTCAAGCAGCTCAGAGCCCATACATAAACAGATTGAAACATTTTAGTTTCATTTAAAAATCTTAAATCCCAAGCTCCGCCATCAGTGCAACATGCAATACTCTTTAGACAAAACTAAATACAGAAATAAGGAAGTAAATTATGCAATAAAAATACTACAACTGATACAATGGTGCAAAACTGTGATGATATATAATGTGGATATGTGGAATAAACACATGTAAAGATGAACAGTGATTTCTAAACACATGTGAGTGGTGAGATGAAGATGGAGTTACGTGCAAAATAAAAGTAATAGAAATACATAAGGAAAGGCTGTGGAGGTGAAAGAGAAGCCAGTTGTAAATCATTCTCTGTGTGAACGTGTGTGTTTGTGTGTGCCCAAAGAGGAGAGAAATTCCTCAGGTTTGTGAAAGAAATCCTGTGCTCACACTCACCATACTGTAAGCAGCCAGTGCACCAGTACTATGGCCTGCAGAGAACAAGAGACAAGTGTTAGAAAGACTAAAAAGGGTTGTGATTACCTTTAGTCTATAGCGCGTCAGGCTACAAACAATCCAAAGAAATTACAGTTTCGACAGTCGTTTAATCTTCTAAAACTCAAAACATTTAGTTTCTCCAACTTCTCTACTGTGAGTCTTTTCTCTGAAGTCATTGTTAACCTCACTCTTTGGGTTTTGGAAATAGGTTAAACTTTGAAATTTATTTCACTATCTTCTTACAATTTAAGACCTTAGGATTTATTAAGGAAATTAAAGAGGAACATCAACATGGGATGTAGCCCTAATTCAGTCTAAAGCATGTAATCATTAAGTATTCAAAGCACAAGTGCTCCTTTACTTACACTTTCATATCTTACTTTCTGAGTTTTCACATCACATGTTTAAGTCCACATTTCTGACTACTTTTGAACTGTTTAACCTTTACAAAAATACAATACAGGCATAATTCAATTGAATGTTTCTCCCTTTTAAGAGGGACAGGGACATATTATCCAGGCATCAGGTCACATATTATAGAACAGTGTTAAAACAGAACACATAGACAGCTTAGAAATAATTGACACGGTAATATTTAGTTTGAGATAAATATTTTTAAATCATTCAGATCTCAATACTGAGCAGATTCACTGATGTGTTTCTAACATCCAATGCCTTTTATAATATGGTCTTTCAACAGGCCTGCTGCCCAGTGCCCATCAATGTAAGCAGAACTGTATACAAACAACTAATCTCCTGGGTAGGGTATCTCCTGATTAACTAAACTCTTCTACTCCAATTAAAAAACAACAATAAAGCACCAACAAAAGCACAAGTCAGTAGTTTACTGTGGTGTGTCTCAGGCAGGTAGTTGCCACACAGAGGAATTACCAATTACCAACACAGTTGACATCATCACGCAAGTTAACACCAGTCCTCGTTAAACACTGCACTCCTCCTGCAACACACACACACACACACACACCTCCAGCCTCACCTTTAGATTAATGGCAGGGATTTCCATCACATCAGCTCTTCCTGTACCGCTTCACTGCTGCTGCCACTTGTTGATGGTGCTACATGAAAAACTGCGGCAGATTGTTTCCTCCACAAACTTCTCTCCAAAACTCCTCCTCCCTTCAGATCAGCCTGAAAACACAAACCATGTGACAGCAGCCTGACTGCTTCCCATGTGACTCCCCCCCCCCCCCCTCCCCCACGCAGTCTGCGTGATCTGCGTGTAGGGAGGCCTGATCAGAGTACCTCGAGCCTGAAATATCTCCTCAAAGCAAAGCACTTAGCAGCTAGCTCGGAGCTAGCCATGATGATTGTGGCATACAAGATATTAAACAAATGGTATTCAAATTACAGACATGGTGACCTTTAAGTTTATAATGCCTACTCAATGATTCACCCATCTTCCAAACTCAATTTGAATATTTTGAAATGTTTCTCACAGCAAATATTGCGACTCATTTAGATAAATTAATCACAAAGCATGTAATTAATTAGAGTCATTTTTGTAAATGCTTGACAGCCCTAATTATTTGTCAATGCCTTTAAATCCATGTATCAGTGATCAATACAATTTTATTTTAGCATGTTGCTTAAATCTTTAAAGCAGGAGCCTAATTACGCAGCTCTCAACGGCTCAATTAAAGAAATATGAACCTAGTAAATGAAGATATAATTCACCTATGTTTAGCCCTTCAACAGTGTTCCAGTGCTGGAATTGGGCCGGTACTCACCGGTACGCAGTACCGGCACTTCTGGTTCTGACCCATGGAGTACCGGCACTTCTTGCTCAGTACCGGCATGCTGGCGGTACTCCGGTACTCATGCACCGTGCCAGTACTCAACACTCTCCCGCCGTTCTTATTATACATCCATATATATATATACAGCCGCCCGGTACTCAGTAGATGCGTCATGAGGTGTCGAACGGACATTCTCATCGCTCTAACCGCTGGAGTTTCACAGCGGCTGTCAGCTGTTTACTCCTGTCATTCAAACAGAACGTGCTGGAGAGGGGGCGGGGCTTATCTTCTCCATGTAAATACTGTGGTGGAAACGACTATGTCAAAATTAACCTATTTGACCGTGATTTAATAGTAATACACGTTTCAAAATAATAATAATAATAATAATAATGCCGAAGTAACAACATACTGAAAACTGTTAGTAAAACCATGTTTTAATGCTTTACAATTTACATACCTAGATGCACGTGTGTTGTGTTTATGCAGTGCAACTCCCACCCAGTGGGTGGCTATGTAGAGTGATAGAACAGAGCAGGCACGCCCCCGAGAGAAGGAAAGCAAGTCACGTCACAAATTAGCATTTCTAAAATGTTAGCTTGGATTAATAAAAGTGCAAAAAGACAGCGGTTGTCGCCGGAAGAAACTTCAAATACAGAGAATGCTGTGCCTGTGTTGGAAATTGTGTCTGATGGGGAGCTTTCTTTGGTTGGTCCTCCTGCTCCAAGTTCTAGTGCATTAGCATTAGCACTAGCTCCGCCGCCTCCTCCAGAGCCTCTAACGTTAGCTGCTGCTGGCGCAACTGCCACCACCAACACCGGGCAAAGCGATGCACCTGACTGCTGGACAACGGACCAGGTGCAATATTTTTGCAAGACCAATGCATGGCTCCTTCTTAAAGATAAGAAGCTAGGATGTCGGATATGCAGAGATGTCAAATCTTTGGGAATACACACTGGACAAGGACTGAAACTGTCAACTGAATGGGGTGAGTGTGCAGTGTCTCATTTGGGTGTTGACAAGGGCAAACAACAAGCTAGCCTGAGAAAAAAAAATCAAAGAACATAAAGAATCATAAGCCCATGTAAAAGCTGCTGACATCCTTACATCTGCTTCACGTGAAACTATTCAACATCAAGTGCAGTCTATGCATAAATCTGAATTAGACACCACTATCAGAGTTTTTCGAACGGCATATACAATTGGCAAACATAGCCGGCCATTCACAGACATGCCAATTGATTTGAATGTACAGAAACTGAATGGGCTGAACGTGGGCAGGGTTTTGCACTCCAATAAAACCTGTGGCGAAATCATCGACCACATAGCTCATGAGCTGAAGAAAAAAATGGCAAAAGACATTACAGAAAACCAAAGAAAACTCTGTGTTTTGGTCGATGAATCTACCACTATTAGTGGTAAAACGGTGCTTGTTGTGTGTCTTCGCTCAGCATTAGCTGATGCTGAGCCCGAAACGTTTTTTTGGGAGCTGATCGAGTTGGATGGAACAACGGCTGATGACATCACAAAGGCGTTAATGGAGTGTCTTGGAAGAGATTTTAACGAGGACTTTTTAGGTCAGTGTTTCGTTTCTTTTGCATGTGATGGGGCTTCAGTCATGCTAGGGAAGAGAACAGGCGTTGCTACCCAGTTGTGTAGTAAATTCCCAAGCCTGTTTGTGTGGCACTGCTCCAATCATCGTCTAGAGCTGGCAGTTGGGGATGTGGTCAAGGAGGTCTCAGGGCTCAATCATTTCCAGATCTTTTTTGACAAACTCTATTCCTTGTTCCATGCCTCCCCCAAAAATCAGAGGCAGTTAGCGCAGTGTGCGCAAGCAGTCGGACAGCGTCTCCTGGTGATAGGGCGTGTTTTGTCCATCCGCTGGGTGGCTTCAAGTGAAAGGAGCGTCAGAGCAGTCTGGGAAAACTACCGAGTGCTTCCTGATCACTTCACAAATGCTGCAAACGACACGAGCAGGGATTCCAGAGACAGAGCAAAGTACAAGGGCCTGGATGATGTGCTCACATCTGCAACGTTTGTCAGCAATCTGGGACTGATGTACGATGCGCTCACAGAGCTCAGCGACCTCTCTCGGCAACTCCAAAAAAGAGAGATGACACTGCCTACAGCAGATAGGCTCTTAACTCGAGAAATACGAGTTTTTGAATCCATGGGCACCATGCCTGGCCCACACATGACTACAGTTCATACAGCTCTAGCTGAGAAGTCCTTCAAGGGTGTTGCCCTGCGTGAGAATGGCAGGCTTGTACAGATTCATGCAGGTCAGTTTTTTCCGCAGTATGGTAGAGAATCTGAGACACAGAATGACTTCCACAACCTCCTCTCATGTCAGCACAAGAGAAATCCCATTACATGGCCGGGAGGCCCGGGACAATCAGCTAATCCAGGACATGAAAGTTATCCATCCTGGAAGTTGGCCTGAAGAGGAGTTAGACGTACAGTATGGGGACGTAGAGGTGCTACGTTTGTGCGAAGTGCTGAAAGTGGACAGAAGAGAGACTGTTCAGGGCTTTCGCGAATACAAGGAAACCAGGGCATCCCGTACACCTGCTGCCATGGAGCCTCTACTGAAAGCAGTCCGAACCATCGCTGTCTCCACTAGTGAGTGTGAGCGGGCATTCAGCTGCATGAACGATATCCTTACTGCAAAAAGGAATGCTCTCTCTGTCAGCCGACTGTCCAGCCTGGTTTTCATTAAATGTAATGGACCATCACTAGGACAGTTCAATCCGGAACAGTATGTGAGGTCCTGGCTGGCAAAGGGAAGGAGAAGTGCTGATGAAAGAGCCTGTCCAGCTCCAGCCCCTGATACTGATGTCCCCAAGGCCTTCTGGAGCCTTTTCTAACAATGTGAAGTATATTGCAAAGCAGCTCACCCAGTGAGAAGACTTTTGGCATAATGTGCCGATTTGTACAGATCCTGGAGATAGAAGGACTTCAGACCAACCAGGGAGTTATCTGATCAGCTTGGTGTTCAATGTAACTCTTTACCATGGCTCAGACTTTGTTACTTGCAGTTACAGTTTCTCATTTTAGATTGTGCAAATTTTGCATTTGTTTTTACATGGTCTTTGTTCATGCTCTTTATCATTTTTCTGAGTTGGAAAGTTAGATTGCATCATAGTTTACTTTATACATATTTGTATTCTTCAGTGGTGAAGTATATTGCAAAGCTGCTCAGCCATGTGAGAAGACTTTTGGCACTTTTTTGTTTTTCGTTTTCTGAGTTGGAAAGTTAGATTGCATTCAAAATGTACAGAAATACTTAATTTTGTTAAAGCTTTTTATAAAAAATGCTTCTGACCAGAGCTTTGTTTCCTTGTCATTAATGTTGAACACCACCAGAGGGGCTCTCACCTGAAAGGTCTCTGCTTCATGTGTCTTCAGCAGAAGATCTAGACTTTGAATGCTATATTTTCAGTTAATATTGACCTTACTGAGCTTTAGCCATATCCGCTGCCTATCATAAAAAATGTTAAGTACAGTGAACCTTTCTAAAATATACAGTAGTAAAGAGACAAACCCACCAGCATTATAGTAGCCAAATTCTTGTTTGTGGGCTGTATATATAAAATTGACTTGAAAAAGTTGCTGATTTTAGAGTACTGGCACCTTTTTCATTCCAATTCAAGCACTGGTGTTGACAAGAATTCACAGCCATGCTAGCAGAATGCTAACAATGCAATGCTAACATGCTAATGTTTAGCACTTTGAATTGCCTTGTGTTGAAAGGTGCTATATAAATAAACTTGCCTTGCCTAATGTTTAGAAAGTGTATGTTTACCACATTCCACATGATGTATTATTGTAGTGCATGGCTAACAGTTGCTAATTTAACAATACATTACATTACATTACATTACATTACATTGCATTTAGCTGACGCTTTTGTCCAAAGCGACTTACAATAAGTACATTCGACCAGGAAGACACAACCTTGAAGAAAACAGAATCATATAAGTATATCAGGTTTCATAGAGCCAAACATTTCAAGTGCTACTCAACTGGCTTTAGGTAATCCAGTCCTTTATTGGTATAAAAGTGCTTCGTTAATCGTTCTAACGCTCGAAGTGGAGTCGAAAGAGATGAGTTTTCAGTTTGCGCCGGAAGATGTGCAAGCTATCTGCCGTCCTGATGTCAATGGGGAGCTCATTCCACCATCTTGGAGCCAGGATAGCAAACCCACGTGTTTTCGCCGATGGGAACTTGGGTCCCCCTCGCAGCGAGGGCGCAACGAGTCGTTTGGCTGATGCAGAGCGTAGTGCACGCGCTGGGGTGTACGGTTTAACCATGTCCTGGATGTAGGAAGGGCCAGATCCATTCACAGCATGGTACGCAAGTACCAGTGTCTTGAAGTGGATTCTAGCAGTTACCGGAAGCCAGTGAAGGGAGCGGAGGAGCGGAGTGGTG